ACAAAAAATATTAAAACAAATTCGTTTTTCTCTTCGTCTTTCCTAATTGGCTGTAAAACCTTTTTGATTCGTTGGGGACCCAGCTTTAATGCATAAACAGACGAGTATTTTAGCGAATTCCTTCTATTCAATTATTAACGCCCAAAACTTGTATAATCGGCAACTATTCTTATGGTGGTAATGGACCATGGCGTAACCATTGCAAATCAATTTTTATTTATTTACAAATATGTACATGAAGTTCACATCTATATACAGATTAATTAATGTGTGTAATCTTAAAGAGAGAGAGAGAGAATTTTGCAAAAGGTTATCGCTGCATTATTTTTCCAAAGGGTATCGCTAAACTGAGCAAATCGAAATGCGGTGATAGCTTTTTGTATGTTATATATGCACTTTATGGTCATATTCGCCATTTCTTCTATAATCATACTTGCCTTGCGAACTCAAGATTTAAGAATTATTTGCGAAGCATTACGCAAAGTATTCAGACATACGAGTACAATTAAAAAGAAAAGCCAACTCAATTGCTGATTCCTGGACAAAGCTGCAGTCAAAATGAAGACACTTCACGTTGCGACATTTATTCTGCTTTTGCTGGCATTTCAGCGTTTGACATCTTCGCGAGATATAGTATACCCAGATAGGACCAACAAACTCAGGCCTGAGCCCAAAAGGGACTTATATGGGAACCCCATATGTCGTTTATGTTAAAAATATGTGCTATTAAATATACTAAATATTGTTAATAAAGCATTGGTGTTTTCTATCAAAATAGAGGTATAACCCAGGCCCAGGTCAAAAGAAATTCAGCGGATATCTATTTTAATTTGAACGTAAGAACAACTTGCAGAGGATAAGAGCATTTTGAATTTCGGCTGATTCAACTTAAAGATATCCTGCTAACAGTTTTCTGCCATGCATCAACGAAATCGGGTAAAGATTCAGACCACACCCTCATAAGGGTTTAATGGGAAAGCCCACACTTATCAATTTTGAAAGACTTCATTAGATTCAAATATCCACGTTCTATTCTGTGTCGCTTTAAAATTGTTTATTGCTAGAAGAAAACCTACACATGAAGAATGTTTGTAACGTGATAAAGCTACGATACTTATATATATATAGCATTAATTTTTACATAGTCATCTCCACTGTTGCAAATATCGCTTCTCAGCATTGACTACTTTTCAGCATAAGAAATGAATTAGTAAGAGTCTAACAATAACAATAATCCCCACTAGATCGAAAATAAAATTGTATTTTGCTGATTGCTGTATTTGGTTTGACATAAATGAAATGAATAAACGTTCATGGAAAGCCCTTCGTCTATAGTTTATTCCGCCCAAGTCTGGATGATCTAATTTGAACTCGGTATGTCGCTTGTGAAACAAAATGATGGAATACAAAAATTAAACCCTTTTTAACCATTGACAATGCGATCAGGTTATGAAAGATAGTTATAGTTGGAATACACTTAAAATCATATCAGATTTGCGCTACATTTCTCTAATTCTGTCTCTCATATGTTTGGAGCATCGTGAGCTTGGGAGTCAACAAAAAGTAGAGCTTATTAAGGGGAATGAACAAATATATTTAAATTAATATAGTTTAATCAAAAAACATTAAAAAAATAATAATAACATTAACGCCTAATCAGCTGACACTGGGGTCAATGAAATAGATCCACCCAAACCATGACGTTACTTAACTTAATACTTAACATTTTCGTAATCTCTTCCGGCTTTTACCTGATAATTATTTTTTACAATGTTTTAAGTATTCGTAATCTCGACTATTTATAATAATAAATAGTTACAACACCAACGTGCGAACACAATTATCAGCCTGTCTCTCTGATCAGTGTAAATAGAACCGAGAAATCATTAATCGCGTCTGTCCAACTAGGCCTAGACGATCACATCAATCGTTGAATTGACTGCAATCGAGCTAATTGTAACATCAGATCATTGAACACTACAAGGACTGTCAACAAAATGCTTACACCTCACGCTATGGGCTGTATCCTGCTTATCCTGCTGGCACTTTTCTGCATTGCTTCAGCACAGTACGCAGACCCGGACGAAAGAATGTTAAGGCCTCTCCCCCACACGTCCATTATGGGAAGGCCCAAGCGTATCGATTTTAAAGGGCAAAATGCAAGTTTAATTGTTGCTAACAATTGATAATAAAGAATGTTTGTTTTGTTGGAATAATTTGAAGTTTTCGAATTGCTTGCATTAATATTTTCAATGACAATGATTTTTGAGAAATTCTTTAATCATGCTTTTCTTGATTTTTCCCTATCTATCAAATGTGGAAATAATCCTTTTATGGCCTCATGTTAACCTTATATAATTGCATATATATTTATTTTATTTACTATTAAAATTATATCTTTCGTATGAAGTACACATCTATATTCATATTTATTTATGTGTGTAATCATAAAGAGGGAGAGAGACTGCAGCAAAAGGTTATCGTTGAGCTGCGCAAATCGAAATTCGATGATAGCTTTTTATATATGCAAAAATATGTTCATGTTCGCAATTCCTTCTATAATCTTGCATGCCTTGCGAACTCAAGATGTAAAAATTATTTGCGAAGCATTACGCAAAGTGTTCAGACATACGAGTACAATTTAAAAGGACAAAGCTGCAGCCGGAATGAAGACACTTCACGTTGTGACATTTATTCTTGTTTTGCTGGCATTTCATCGTTTGACATATTCGGAAAGTGTACATCGAAATGAGAACAACAAACTCAGGCCTGAGCCGAAAAGGGACTTTACAGGGAAGCCCATACGTCTTGATTTTGAAAAATAAGTGTTAATAAATATACTATAATAAATATTGTTTACGGAGCATTGTTGTTTTATATCAGATACGCCAAGCCCAGGTCAGAATCTATTTTACATGACATTGACTAGTAGGAAAGACACAGACATATACATATACATATATATATATATATGCTAACAATTTGAAGTTTTCATATCGATTGCGATATATGAAAGCATTAATATGATTTAATATTCTTAATATAATTTTTGACAACTTCGTTTATCAGCCTTTTCATGCTTTTCATGATATCCTATCTTTCAAATGCGGAAATAATCCTACTAAGGCCTTATAGACTCTAAGAAAGTCTATGAAATTCTCTTGCTTTGATACTTAATATCAAAAGTAGTGAAATTTGAACAAAATTATAAATGAATATATTAATAATATTCAATTACAAAGTATTGATATGTTGTTTTTTGTTTAAACGTAATTTTTGAATTTCATTTTTATATATTTTTTAATCTATTTAACGGATAGCACTCTAGGTCAAAGACAAAGACAATAATATATGTAGAATATATATTAAATACTTGTAGATGTTGGCTCGATGCGATTCGCAGATAGGAATACATGAATATGCTGCAATCTCTCAATGCGCAAGCTCACATACATCATATGTATGTATGTGTGTTAGTGATAAGCACATATTTATATAAATTTTAGCTACTGCAATGCATCGATATGCCCAAACTGTTTGTGTAGCGCATCGTAAAGCTCGGCACACACAAAATTAAAGGTGCCCAACACATTCGCGTACACATAAATTGAAGCCCAGATCTCGTAAAACTAGCTTCGGCTCAAATTTGTTGTCGCTGACGCTGGCGTCGACGTCGCTGTCAACGTCGGCATCAGCCTCAGCTGCATTGCAACGGCCGTTGATCAAGTCGCTTTTGTGGCAGCTGTCTTTGTTGTTTTTGTTGTTGTTGTTGTTGCACCACTCAAACTTGTTGCTGCTTACGAAAAAACATAAACTTTTCGCTTTTGCTGTTTTAAAGATTTTGTTGTCTTGTATACCCATTAAAAATGTATATACAGGGTATAATTAAAGCCGTCCTTATGTATGAATCATACAAAAGAAATCTCCGCTTACATAAGTTATATTTATTTTGAATAACCAGCGCTTACATTTGAAACTCTCTCTTGTCAGATATGTACTCGCCTTTCTGTGCGCTTCTCATAGCCTATGATTTAAACAATATTTGTTATTATATACATGCATAATTAATCTATGTGCACTTAAGTAATCCTACTTGATTTCAAGACTGCTATATATTTATAATGTAGATGACTTTAACTATGTCACAGCTGATAAGTCGAAGTCTCTCTCTGTCTCTCTCCCTCTCTCTTTACCTTGCGCTTCCTTATCTACTACCTAATATTTCTCTCTTTCCCTGACTGAGAACACATTAAGGCGACATCTCATGTGAAAGCATGATTATGAATATGTGATCGACATCAGGGGAGGCGTAATTCTAGTAAATATGACTTGTATGCTGAGTCAATGTAGATTAGTGCTCCACAGGGTATCTGCTATTCGAGCACACTCTTTATTCTGCGCCGCTCAAATAATTGTAGTGGCCACAGCGTCTAACAACAAATCATTGCACTATGCTGTATACACAAATAGTTTTTATATATATAATATTGAGTATATAGCATGTCTGTATATATGTGTGTGTGTGTATGTATGTGGCCAGGGTTCATCTTGATTGCTTCAGCAGCTGCCGTTGCCCGCTGCCCTCTCCCCGCTGCCCTCTTCCCGCTGTCTGTGTTGCTTTGTCCGTTTAACCTCAGCGTTACTTGAGCTGAAATCCAACACAACAGCAGAAGTCAAGCGCGTCTATGAAATATTTGGAGATAATATATACCCTATACTGAACTGATAATAAGATTATAAAGCAGCAGGCTGGTCATTTGTCTCTGCACTTCTTTTTAATAAGTAAATGAAAGTCTATGGACATTGCTCATCTACTTCACATGGCCAATATCATTGGAGTGCATCAAATTCGCCGAATCATTAACCAATATCATTATTTGCATGACTCTCATGAAATATATAATCGTTCAAATTAGTCGCTACATTTTTTTCATTTTTTTATTGTCATTATTATAATATTTTTATTGCTTTTTATAAGCTTTATTACTTTTGCGTATATATATATTTTGTTTAGCTTTTGTTTAAATTGTTTTTTTTTTATCATTTCTGTTTGGTTTCTTGATAATGTTATAATATGTTTTTTTGCTGTTCGTTTGGGTGATTGGCGCTGCCATCATTCAGGTTTTTTTCTTTATGTATAATCGTCGTCTATTATTTAATTCTTATAAATGATGGCACACGTATACAAACGCATCCGTAGTTTGATTGGGACGGGCTGCTTTGTTGATTTTACATTCGCCTTACTAATAGTTTATATCATGCTAGACGCTCGTTTATTAGCTGTATCTCAATGACCCAATGCCCGGCCCGGCGTTTGACCGTTGTCATTATGCAATCTTGAGTTTATTTATGTTTTTTGTTTTTGTTTTTTCTACTGTAATTACATAATTTTTATATTCGAAATGTCACAAGCCAACAAACGCAGTCGCCGCTCAAACTATGAGCTTCAGCTCTCAGTTCACATTGAGTTATTAGTTATTAAATTTCTTTTTCAGCTTAGGGTTTATGCAACCAGTCGCCCAATGCACGACGCCAACGCCGACGCCAACACCCGCCCGCCAGTCGCCGCCGCAGCACGGCCCATTCCCAGTTCCCATAAGACGTCTTGGACATTACAGCATCCCCAGCATTTGCGGTCGGAGCTGTCAGAGATCCACTAATTGCCAGCTTCAAACTGCGCATGACTTTCATTTGTTTAGTTTTTGGACTGCTTTGTTTGTTTTCGTTCCCAAATTCAAAAGGCAGTTGCTGATTTGCATATAATAATCCGGAGAGCAGCTGAAATGCCAAATTAATTAACGATACCCTATGAAAAACAATACTTGCATCAGCTTTGTTATCCAATTGCAGGTTTTACAAATTAGATTAGCATTGATAGATATACACACTTTCAATTATACACAGCAGAGTTACGAAGCGATCGAAAAATATATCCAATCTTTATACTATAGATAGAGCTTGGAGCTACGATGCGCGGTTCACAGGCAAAAACTTTGATTTTCGTCGAGAAATTAATTAAATTTCTGGGAATTTTATTGTCTTCGCAAATGTGCGCATTATCTTAATTATTTAACCTGTGCGAACTAAACGTATTCGGGAATTGCCATTTTCAAAAACTCACTTTTCTGGTTTCTGCGCTCATCTACATAATTATTTAACAATATTCGAGATCAAGTTCAAAGTCGTAGAGCACTTAGAGCAGTTCCTAAAAGATTTGGCCTGTCGCAATTAATTAAAGCAAACAAAAAGAAAAGCTTCCACAAGTTTTTAGAGCATAAACAAATTACAAGTAAATTAATTTGAGCTGAGCTTAGCTTAAAGCTTTGATTGGATTAGTCGTGCGGCTTCTAAGAAAATTTCTAATAATTATAATTATACCAAAATAGCTTTAATTAGCGTGCACGTGAATTCTCGGATCTGTCACTGATGCTAATTCGATTTGGTTTTCGCAGATAGCAGCCATTATAGATGTCTACTGCGCAATAGTGCAGGAATATTTATGCATCTATTCGAAATTCAAAATTGTTAAGCATCGGGTACGCCTACAAATTAAAATTTTCTTTTTATTATGGGGATTTTTACAGTTTTTTTTCGTTAAGTTTTTTATTTTTGTAGTTTTTTTTTTTACCTAACTCTTAACGCGATTCAACCAACTGGATTTGCTCTCTCTCGCTGGTAGGGAGCTGGCGGTACCAAGCGGCGACTTGGCACCAACGCGCCGGCTCGGGCACATGTCTGGGAATAAAGCGGCAACAAAAGGAAAACAAAAGCGCTTCAATGCGGCTTTACGACTCTACAGGGAGTGGTGAAAGATATTCGCATATGTATACCTGTACTCCTATATGCAATACCCAGGCACAACTACATAAGTTCGTTAAAGCACACATATGTCTAATAACTAATCGCAGATGTGTACGAAATTCACACAAAACGCAAAAAAGTTCGTAAATAAAAGCAACAAGAGCCGCAGCAAATATTTGTGGTCGTCAGATGCTGTTCAGCGCGTCGCCATTTTGATTTGGTTTAAAATTAGCTAATAATAAAAAAAGAGAAAAAAAAATGAAAAAAAAACAAAGGTGCAAAAAGGTAAACAAGCCGCACACAAAAAAAAACAAAACATACGAAAAAACATCTGCGAAATTTTGTCAAGCGGAATATACACAATAATAGAAATACTTTCGTTGATCGAGACGAATTCGCAATGCGCTACTCTACAAATTAAATTAGAAACCTCACCTTATCACGACTCGAACGAATCAATTTCTAACGGGCATTGTTCTTAAGCTCTATTTACCAGTTTTCTTATATGGACAGAATTTGTTTTCCACTCCGAAATGCAGTCCAAATCTCGATTGCTGTGTAGCGCATTAGAAAATATAATTAGAATTCGAGTTGGTCACGGTAGAATGGATGTTGCGGTGATTATAGTTAGATTTAGGTGCTTGAAGATTGTTTTTGGGGATTTTGTATTATTATTATACATTCGTACACCTAAAGGGTATTCACATGAAACAATGTAGCATGTTTCTCTGCCTTAGGCAAACTGTTTATTTATTTTACTATCCATAACTCTTTTTTCTGTTTTTTTTTGTAGAAAAAAGTCCCGATTTGTGTCTGGCTGAACTGAAATATTATAGATTTTATAGTATAGTTATACGAAAGGCGTTTTTTATAAGAGCTCTGCAGCTTCTTAAAGCGCAGAGACAATTACTTGAATCTGGTTTTTGTTTGTTTTGTGATTCAACAAATTTAAAGAACAATTCTAGGCAATTGATGAATCTAATATTCTCCCCATTTCCCTTTGTACCCATTACGAACGTGCTAACAGCGTTTAGCACCTCACAAATATAAAACAACTGCCCCAAGCCCCACTTTTCCCCAGGCCACAGTGTTTGCAGCGCGCATGGGATGAAAGCATGCACAAATAAATTTAACCAATTTGGACGGGAATCAAGACTGACCGAGACCGTAAATTGTTTAAGCTCTAATATGACCATATTATATATATGTATATATAATATTTTCATGTGTAGATCCGCAAATTAGTGATAGTTTTGTTTTGAGCAGATTAAGCCCATTAGCATGGTGAAATTTAGTTGCATATAGAGTGTATTGTTATGGTATATAAATGCCAATCGGAATTAGTTTTAACTTCTCTTTTTTTTTCTCTTACCAATTAACACCATCCGTTCTGGCAAGCCCAGATTACTAGATTTCTAGTTCAAGCTCCGCTGGTTGTTGTTTGGCTTGGCTCCGCGGTTCGTGTTGAATGTCAATGACTTGGTTGGTCGCTGGAGTTGTTGCTGGAGCTGGAGGCAGTGGCATTTGCAGTGTTCATTTGTCAACAACAACAACAACTAGCTACAACAACTTTCAACAATGTCGCCCTCAATGCCCATGCAGCGTTGCGCTTTTAACGCTTTTGTATTATTATTTGCTAAGCAGATCATAAATACTCGGCTATATATACAACTACAACAACAACAACAATTGAAGCAGCATATTTGACTTGAAATGGCATTTAGAAATGTTAATTGCCGGATTTATGGCTGTGGGAGTGTTTCGTATTTAAAGAATCAGACCCATAAAGGAAAGATCAGCCAGGCAAAAGCTGCGGAAAAGTTCAAATATCCGCCTAGATGAGTTAAATGATTATTGAGAAACTATAAACATAATGTGCTAAAATGATTATGGACCAAGGCGCAAGGCACAACAAGCAGCCGCATTGTTACGCCCATTTACGCATGCTTACCAAGTTTCAGGAGTTTTGGGGTAGAAGGAAAACAATACGCAAGGTTTTCACACCAAGGTGCCAAAATTGTGGCAACAGCCAAATCCAAATGTCAAAGTCCGCATATTACGCTACAGCTACAGATACAAGTGTGTGTGTGTGTATATGTACTTATGAATATTTATCTGAATTGGATTGTTTTTTTATTTGTATTTTTTTTTGTCGACATCTTCAAAACACAATGGTGGATTTTTTTCTCTAAATTGCAAATGCACTTAACAAATGCGATTTTCGAAAGCGATAGCAAGTCACATTTTGAAGTTTTGGGAAAAGCTACAAAATTTCAGAGAAGCAACAAAAAAGTACACTTAAAGTACGGATAATGGACAAAGACAAAGCGAGGAAGGTTATTGTTGAGGCGCCACAAATTAATTTGCACCTTTCGCCTCTGTTGCAGCAGCTGTCGCGGCAGCAGCAGCAACAGCGACAAGTCTGTCGGTCGCAGCAGCCGGTGAAAGTTGCATGCAAATACAAAGCCAGAAAAATTGTGGTGCTGGCCAAAAGCCCAAATCATGATTCGCGCTGCACTCTCTTCGCTGGGCTGCTGCAATTGCTGCTGGCAAATGCCAAAGCCGCAGGGCCCTTCTTTTTCTTTTCCCTGTGCTTGGCGGCGATGTCATAATCCGCGTCGGGGCTTTTCCTCATTGCACCCGAAAGCGTTTCGCTTGAGTTGGGTGCCTGGCCTAACGGCAAGTGTACTCGTTATTTGTCATTTATTTGCACTTCGCAATTGAGTGCGCTTTGCTGGTAGGAAGCGGAAATAAGTGGCATTTGGCGGAAAGTGTGATGTTTGAGTGCGTTTTTGCTCAATTTGCGCAGTTAAAAGCATTATGCATTAACAATATTGGTCTTAAATTAATTGAATCAATTTAAAAAATGTCATTTCTAACTCGCCACTTATCGATAGTTGCGCTTTCAGTGGCTGTCAAACTGTAACAGCTGTTTAGTTGCATACTTTTGAGCTGTGAATAATGTTATCGATATAAATGGCTAAAAATTTTATTTGAATATTTACTTTAAATTAACGATAAATACATGAGTTTTTGTATCACTGCTGTCATAAATATTAGTTTAGCTGCAAAGTATTGTAACATTTTGCATTTTACAATCGATACCATATATCGTTGTGCAGCCCTGGAGGTATCGGTATCGTCTGCGCAAGTCATGACCCAAAAATGAACATCAGCTCTTTGAAAATGCATAAACACTTTTTTACATGAAGTATTCAAACAAAAGCAAACTCAAAACGTGTGCACGTGGATGCGACGAAGCGTGTGTGCCATACGTGGAGAACACAGGAAAGGGCGTGCATCAAGATTTTAAAGAAACAATTCAGCAAGTACGCACCGCACTGTTAATGAGGATGACCCACACCCGCACCCCGCTAACGCAAACGCATTGATTACTACACATTTTCATCGTGCAAGCAACGCAACGCGGCGCCGCCATTGAATCTAAAATCAGGCAAGTTCTAAACGAAAAACGATTCCACGCAAACTTATGCAAAAATGTCGCTAATGACGCGCATCGAGGGCGGCGGCGACAGCGGCGGCAGCGAATCGCAGAGCACACCTTCAATTTCCGAGGTCGCTGCGTTAAGCGATGAATTACAAGATGGTGATAATAGCCTGGAGCCAGGTGAACTGGTCACGCCACCGCATCAGCAGCCGGGCAACGCTAGTCCGGCGCTGAAGAAAATGCTCGCCAAGGACTTTATAAGCAAGGCATTGCGCAAGCTGACACAAATCGATACGGATAACTGTGAGGAGAAAGAGCGTGCTATTTTGGAGCTGGAGGCCATCAGGCGCAAAGAAGTGGCTGTCAAAATTGTAACTGAGAAGCCACCGCAAACTTATCCACTGGAAAATGGCAGCGCTGTAACAGATACGGCGGGTACATCGACGCCCGCATTAACGGACGATGCCGATGACAGTGAAGGCTTGTACTCGGACACTGACTCCTCTGGGGATGATCAGAAGAATGTAGAGGATGTGCAGAAGGCGCGCAAGGAGAAGGAAGCCGAGGCAGCTGCGGCGGCAGCACCACAACCACCACCTGCCCCTCACCATCCCTTTCTTGGACTCAATCCACTGCGTTTTCACATGCGACCGCCGTGTTTTGACTTTGCACGCATGGGCTTTGTGCCCAGAATGCCGCGTGGTGGCATGCGTGGAATGCGACCTATGTTCTTTAACCGACTACCCGCTGCCAATCGTTGTGCCCCGCCCAGGGGCACAACACCGCCCTTATCAGCGTCAGCGTTGTCATCGTGCAATGGACCTCAAGGTCAGGTTGCTCCATCATCAGGTTCATACGGACCAGCGTTGCCACCCGGTCAGTCCCAAGGTCAAAGCCAGGGCAATAAACGCACACAGTCTGATATAACGTAAGTATAACAAATATACAGGGGACAGCCGATATTGTAAATAATGTTAAACATTTTAAATATATCCACTTTGTGCTAACTCAGCTGGACAACATCGCAGCCGCCAGTCTCGTTCATCTTTAATCTAGTTACGGAATGTGGCAATGCGCAACACAAAAACTGCAAGCAAAAAGAGATACAGCCGGCCAAGCCTAACTCCAAGGAAAATGTCGGCAGTGACACGCAAAGGGAACTGTCCAAGGATAAGAGTAACCGATGCAAGGATTCGACCAAGGAAAGTAAAGAGAAACAGAGGGACCGCTTCAAGGAGAAACTGAGGGAACGTTCCAAGGAGTCTAGAATCGATAGCTCAAAGGAGAGACTTAAAGAACGCTCAAGCGAACGTTTTAGGGAAAAAAAGGGCGAACGCTTCAATGAGAGGCAGAGGATAAATTCTAAAGAGAGAAGGGCGTGTTCCAATGAGAAGCCAAGGGAGCGCTCTAAAGAGAGCAGGGAATGCTTCAATAATAAGCAAAGAGATCGCTCTAAAGATAGAAAAGAGTTCCCCAATGATAAGAAAATCGAACGCCCTATACAGAAAAGGGAAAACTCCTATGATAAGCAAAGAGAACGCTCGAAAGGCAAGATAATGGGTGACAAGCCAAGAGAACGCTCCAAGGAAAGGTTGGATCGCTCGATTGAAAAGCAAAGG